TTTGGTTGGTCATGGGGCTTGAACTCTGGGCCTGGGCTCTGTCCCTGCACTCTTCAGCTCAAGGTAAGCACTCTACCACTTGAGCCACAGCGCCACCTCAAAAAATTTTTTAAGTAATCATAAAAATGTTTTGTTTGCTGGGCACTGGTGGTTCATGCCTATAATCCTAACTACTCAGGAGGCTGAGATGTGAGGATCTTGTTTCAAAGCCAGCCTGGGCACAAAAGTCTGTGAGATTTTTATTTATTTATTTATTTATGGGTCCGGTCATGGGGCCTGAACTCTGGGCCTGGGCGCTGTCCTCAGCTCTTCAGCTCCAGGCTAGCATTCTACCACTTAAGCCACAGCACCACTTCTGGCTTTTTCTGTTTATGTGGTGCTGAGGAATTGAACCCAGGGCCTCATGCATGCAAGGCAAACACTCTACCACTGAGCCACTTTCCCAGCCCTGTGAGATTTTTATCTCCAATTAGCTACTAGAAAACCAGAAGCAGAGCTGTAGCTCAAAGTGGCAGAGTGCAAGCCTTGAGCAAAAGAGCATAGGGACAGCACCCAGGCCCTGAGTTCAAGCTCCATAATCAACCAAAAACTAAAAACAAAAATGTACTGTTATCCAGTTCTCTTTTCCATTTCTTGCCAGTATTGGGACAAAACCACCATGTTAACATAACTCGTTCACCCATGTTTACTATGGGATAGTTTTCCATCGCAGGAACAGTGTCAATATCATCAGTCTGCTTGCAGACGAATTTATGCCACTTGAGTCATGCTACTATCCCATGCTGGCTTCCATGTGGCAGGCCAGACAACAAAACAATCAGAGGCCCTTCACCTGACTGTTCTTTGTAAGTAGGCAAGATCCCTCTAAGGAATGAAGTCAGACCCCTTGCTGAGGAAGCAGATGGTGGCTTGCTCTGCTGAATGAACTCAGGGCTGAATCTCTCACAGCAAACCCCTCCACAAGTCCACTGCTGCTCTCAAAGCCCAGGAAGAGGAAAGGAAAGGCTGCCTTGGCCTTGCAATTTTCACATTCTTGAACACATCAGAGCACCTCTGTTTGAGTTAAAAAAAAAAAAAAAGACCTACCCTTTAAGACAGTGAGAGCTAAATATTTAGTCTAGGAGGCAGAAGCCCATCATTCTCTCTGCCCAAGGAAGCAAGACCTGCAGCAGATTGCCCTTGAATCTTGAAAGTTCACTTCACCACCTCCCAATCACAGTCCTGGCTAAGCGCATCAGCAGTGTCTCACTTCTCAGGACCTGGATGGGGAGGGGGTGTGTGCAACAGTAAGACTCAAGATGCAAAGGAAAACCAGCATTCTACCATCACTGAGCACTCTCGGTATGCAAAGCCCTCCAAGTGGCACACCTCATTGCAGTTAATTATTACAGTAACTTGGTGAGGCAAGTGACATCCCCTTTTTACCCTTTAAAAAATTGAGGCTCTTAGAGAGACTTAAGAGAATTCCCCAATATCAATTACAGAAGTTAAATGACAGGCTGGGGTTTGATCTGTCTTCTGATTCCAAAGCCTTACATCCTTACCCATTGGACTACTCAGCTACAACCTAGACAGGGAAGTACACAGTGATCTTTACAATGGCAGAATACTCTATCTTGGGTCATATCTTCAAAAGTGTTTGCTGCTGAATGGCAGCAGGCTCCACATGAATGCATGATAAATACCAGACAGCAGAATCTGGTGAAAACTCAAGAGGGCACAGAGGGTCAGATGCCACCGCAACTGGGCAGACTAACGAGGACTCCACCCAGCTCAAGCTCTGGAAGGCACTTGGCCCACCAATAATTAACCAGCACTGAATGTCTATCATGTAGGATGAGTGAGGACTTTCTGGTGAATTCTGGCTGCTATTTTAACACACACACGCACGCACGCACGATTTTCGACACAAATGAGTCAAAGAGAAGTTATTAGAATCCATCAATGTCAAGGTTGATTAACTAGAGAAATCTAGAGACTAATAAGTAGGTCAAGAATTCGGGTTCCAACTTGCTAAGAGTTGTACCCTCTGCCTTCCAGCCCCAAATTAAGTGACACCAGTGTGTTTAACCCAAACCTTCCAAGTCCAACTAAAGGAACAAGCCAGAAGTTACTAAGCACCCAAGCAAAGGCAGCAGTACTCTCAGAAAAGTGAAATACTGATGTGTGCCATGTCATCACTGAAGACATTCTGTTCCCTCCAGTTCTGGTTCATTTCTTTATAGACTCAAAGTTTACTGATCATATTGTCAAGACTAACTTCTATGCCCTTTCTGTTTATCCCACCTTGTAGGAATCTAGCAACTCACAGAAAATACAGCTTGTCTTCATGTATGACGTAACAACTGTGCAGACTTGAAATGAGAACAACTTCTAATTCTACAGACAAAGGTCTAAATGTCCATCCTCTCTTGTCCCCAGCATCTTCTGATAACCACAACCTCTGTGTATGTGATTTTATGTGTGTGTGTGAACATGCGTGCGTGTGTGCACACATGTGCGTGTGTTCCAGTCCTGGAACTTGATCTCAGGAACTAAGCACTGTCCCTGAGCTTTTTTGCTCAAGTCTAGCACTCTACCACTTTGAGTTGCAGCGCCACTTCCAGTATTCTGGTGGTTAACTGGAGATAAGAGTCTCACAGATTTTCCTGCTTGGGCTAGCTTTGAACCACAATCTTCAGACTTTAGCCTTCTGAGAAGCTAGGATTACAGGCATGAGCCACCAGTGCCCAGCTGATAACCATAACCTCTTAAACTCACTAACCAACCCAATCTAGAGAAGCTGAGAGAAGCTGCCCTCAGAAGAAGCTGTCAAGATGATATGGGCCATTAACTGGCTAAAATCAGACTCTACTTTTCAAAGCATTATTCCCTACTCCCTGGGATTTGTTGAGAAGTTTTTACCCATTCTTCACCCACTTACAAAAAAAATAATACAAATTTATAAGTTATACTCCTAGGATTCTTTTTCTTAAAAATACTTGAGAGGATATATATTATAATAAACAATAAACATATGACCCAACATTCTCACTTGTCTCTTTAATACACTCAAAACTATTCTGCTTAGGAATTTGGTTGCCTGTAATCCTAGCTACTCAGGAGGCTGAGATCTGAAGATCATGGTTCAAAGCCAGCCCAGATAGGAAACTTCATGAGACTCTTTTTTTTTTTTTTTATAATTTTATTTTTTTTGCAGGGGGGGTCCAGTCGTGGGGCCTGAACTCTGGGCCTGGGCACTGTCCCTCAGCTCTTCAGCTCAAGGCTAGTATTCTACCACTTGAGCCATAGCGCCACTTCTGACTTTTTTCTTTTTGCTTATGTGGTGCTGAGGAATCGAACCCAGGGCCTCATGCCTGCAAGGCAAGCGCTCTACCACTGAGCCACCTTCCCAGCCCCCTTCATGAGACTCTTATCTCCAATAAACCACCAGAGAACCAGAAGTGGCGCTGTGGCTCAAGTGGTAGAGCACTTGCCTTGAGCTGAAGAGTTGAGCAACAACACCCAGGCCCAGAGTTCAAGCCCCTTGACAAAAAAAAAAGGGGGGGGATAAAATTATATCATTCAGGTATGCAAAATAAGTATAACTCAGACTACAAGCATAGACCTGTTTTTGTTTGTTTTTGTTCGTTGTGGAGCCTGAACTCTGAGCCTGGGCACTATCCCTCAGCTCTTCAGCTCAAGGCTAGCGCTCTACCACTTGAACCACAGTGCCACTTCTGGCTTTTTCTGCTTACGTGGTACTGAGGATCAAACCCAGGGCTTCATGCATGCCAAGGCAAGCACTCTACCACTGAGCCACCTTCCCAGCCCCATAGACCTGTTTTTTACTGACATTACAAAAGGAACCACAGGCCACTCCTGAAAACAAAAATACAATCAAAATTTTGTATCCAAAAAACCATGCTCCACATACTTCTATATACATCCTAAAAGGACAACTATGGCTGGCCAGCCCCTAATGTTTAAAAAGCAATTCCAAAATCATTGTCAAGGAGTCACTGCTCCTCCTAAGAATCCTGAGTTCTTTAACATACTGAATAAATTATAAGATCAATAGTTGGCTTTTTCTTTTCCTTTTGGAAATAGGATCTTGCTATGTAATCCAAGCTATTTTCAACCTCTACATCCTCCTACCTCAGTGTCCTGAGTACTGAAATTACATATGTGCCACCATGCTCAGCTTCCAATGTTTTCTAAATAATTTCTTGCCATTTCTCAGGTGATTTCAATCCCTTCAAGCACCTTCCCATTTCTTTCTCATTACCAAGAGGAGTCTTACCGAGATCTTCCACCAAAGCAGTTTGTGCTGGGAGGTTGATGCCGGTTCTCCGAACCAATGGATGTCCCACTGGATTCTCTAGAAGATGACTGTGATCCTGGAAAGGAGATCAATCACAAAGACAGACAGACAGAGAGACCGAGAGGGAGAGAGAGAGAGAGAGAGAGAAAATCTCAACCCTTGTTTGGTAATTGGCTACCAAGCACAGAACTTCCACTATTAAGTTCTTCACCACAATGGGCTATGGACATTCTGCTAGCTATAGCTGCTGGCAGGAGAAGGAATAGGGACAATTGTGTGTGATTTAATCTATACTACAATAGGAGGGTTGAGCCTAGGAAACAGCATCTCTTCTCCAAGACACTCAAGAACATCAAGGGTACTAATGAGGGCTAGGAATGTAGCTTAGTTTTAGAGTACTTGCCAAGCAAGCATGAAGCCCTGGGTTCAATTCCTCAGTATCACATAAACAAACAAACAAACAAAAAGCCAGAAGTGGCTCTGTGGCTCAAGTAGAGCACTAGCTTTGAGCACAGAGAGACTCAGGGACAGTGCCCAGGCCCTGAATTCCTGAATTCAAGCCCTAGGACTGGAGGAGGGGAGCGGGGAGGAAGGTACTAATGAGCAGTCTGCCACATTAAGTGAACTGCAACCTCACAATTGTGAGACAAAGAACATAAAGTTAGGAATAAGGAATGAGGGCATTTCTCCATAGTGGAGAGATCCTTTAAAAAGCCAAATGAGACAGGCACTGGCAGCTCACACCTGTAATCCTAGCTACTCAGGAGACTAAGATCTGAGCATCACATCTTGAAGCCAACCCAGGCAAAAAAGTCCTTGAGATTCTGCTCTCCAATTAACTACCAAAAAGCTGGGAGTAGAGCTGTGGCTCAAGTAGAAGTTTTGAACAACAACAAAGACTCAAATGAAATCATTCTTCAACTAAAGCCCTTCTGCTTCTCAGAATGAGGTTCAACATCCTTGTGATGGCTGCATGATCTGAGGAAAACTACCCCTCCAGTCTCATCTCCATGCTCCTCCTCCTTGTTTCCCAGGATCTGGTCACCCTGGTACCTCTGTTTCCATGTGGGCCCAGCACCTTTTTCCCCTGCACTCGCAACCCAGCCTATCTAAATGTCTCATAGACTCTTCCTTGGTTTAGATGAAATCCTCCAGGGTACAAGAATCTCAAACCACCCTGTATTTTTCTTTCATGGCTTATGTTTCAGGGTCAGTTATGTAATTACTTGCATGTTTACCCATTTGATGTGACTTCTGCCCATGACCATCTGGACAGCACCTGGACTGAGACTTTGGACATTCCAGGTGTTCAATTATGTATATCTGTATTGAATGAGTGCATGAGGTGTGTTTTCCTCTATGCAGAAGTACCCCAAGTGCCATTCAGACTGGTGGAGGAAATCTTGTCAACAGTCAAAATCTATCCAACCAGATTCTACCCACCTACCTTTGAATTAGAATCCAAATTTTACCCCCCTTGAAACTCAGAAAAGTGCCATGGTTACAACACATCTAACAAAATTTTTATAAGAAAAAATTATAGAGAAACCCAACCCTTTGCAGACCTTAGACTTCATGAAATAATTTCCTGCTAAATCCAAAGCTGACTAATTTAAGACTAAATCAGAAGGAACATTCTATAAATCCCCAAAACAAAGCAGAAGACATTCCCCAATCTCCTTGTTTCAGTCTGCCTTTTTTTCCCGCTGTTTTTGGGATGGGGGATGAGACAGAGACTCTAGGCTGCCAGCCTGTCTTTTGCTGCTGTGTAATTGTAGAAGTACGTGTTGTCCCCTCCTCAACCTATACCAAAAGGCAAAAACTTGTCCTTCTCAGGAAGTACTTCTTCCAATACTAGGGAGAAGAAAACAGGCCAAAGTCATATTTGCTAATGATATTTTATTTTCCAGAGTTTATGTGGGATGAAAAGGCATTTTTTTCTCTTGCTTTCAATCAAAAAAAAAAAACACAAAAAGATGTGACATTTATTTTGGTCCTTGATCAGAAAACTTCTTGGAAATTCATGTCACAATTTTGATCTGGAAAGCTAAGGAGAGTCAGAGCTAGACGTTTGCCAGGAATGATTGTACAGTACTCAAAGTGAGACACCAAGCTCTCAGAACCTCATGGTCCCTACCCTGCCTCGTCCTGCTTCAGCCCTGGGGAGCAGGGTGACACTTACCATCTGTCACAGCACTGCCATTAGGCACACTTCCCAGATCAACAGTTGGTCCATCCAGGAAAATTGTCAGCTCTCCACCCGAAACAACACTGCCTTTGTTCTCTGTCTGCAGGTTCAGGGTCAGTTGTGTATTCTCCACTGTTGGGCACAAAATGCAATATGGTTAAATTAAGTCAAATGCACCCTTACTATCCATAGGATGTTGCACTGGGTCTCTCCAGCTCCTTTGGGCATCTGAAGCTATTTTTGGTCAGTTTCACTGAGGGTCTTGGTGAGTTTCTACAAAATAGACACTGGTAATTTGGAAACTAGTTCTTTCAAGAGCCAAGGGGTGTGGAAGAAGCTGAAGCATCTGCCCCTATCAGCATTTTGGTGAATGTAAGTGTGCCACCTTGGAAGTGGATCCTCCACTTCAGATGAGCGTAACCTAGGCAACATGGCCACTACTACCTCCTAAGAAGAGATGCCAGGCCAGGCTGCGCCAAACTGTGGGCACACTACAACTATGAGAGAAAGCATGCTGCTTTCATTTCTCTGAACAGGGAATGTCCCCGTTCCTATCTCTAGCAGACCCAAAACCTAAATGTCTAGCAAAGCAGTACAGGAATTAATCAGGCAGATGCTGTCAGGCATACTGGATTCAAATCTTAGCGCTACAACCTAAGAGCTGAGTAGCAATTCGCAAATTACTTAACCAAAGCACTGGTCTCCCTGCCGGCAAAACAGAAGAAATCATAGCACCTTTTACAGAGAACAGTTTGAGTACTTTAAAGAGCTCCAACAAGCTTCTATTTTTACTATCACCTGTTGACTTTCCTGTCGGCTAAAGAGTTCATTTAGTCTATAGTCACCCTTGATCTTTCTGAGACTTTTATAGGCTGTAGTAACAAACTCCATGAATCCCCTGATAAGCCACAAGATGATCACAAGGATAAATAGCCTATCTTGTTTCTAGGACAACTCCCAAGGACTTTTTGCATCACTGCTGGCACTGAGATTGCCTTCCTAATATCTCAAAGCTTATTGGTTTACAAATGGAAGGTGGGCATTTACCCCAATTGCTGGAGTGATGCAATGTTCAACAGCAAGGTGGTGGGCACAAGGCCTCCAGCTGCTGCATGCCCTCAATCCTGCTCTTCTGACAGTCGCCACAAGCATCATCTGAATTGTCTTCTCCACAGTCTCTCCTCAAAGCTCAATTGAACTCTTCTATCTACCTTGCCCACTAATGTCTCCAGCAGATTTGACACCCTTATCAAGTTACCCTATAACCTTTTGAGGTAGGGTTCATGTTCAAAATGAGCTACTCAGGAAGAAGAGTCTGAATGTTTGAGAACATAACAGGGTTATTTACTAACGAGAAAGCCAGAGAGACCCTGGCAGCCATCATCACCAAGTAGTCAACTTTAGCATCTCTAAGAATACTCAGTTCCTGCTGGGATGGAATATGAAGTACCTGTCACTTGTAAAGTCCTTTTGCTAAAAGCACTTAATCTAAAACCTATTCAAGCCTCTGAAGCTACTTCCCAGTTCACACGAAATAGGGACAGGCTAAATAATAACCATGAGACAAGCACACAAATCCAGAATATAGACCATCTCTAGGATAATTTTCCAGGATTCTTGGGAAAATCAATAGTATTTAATACATTGTTATTCAAACAAAAAAAGTGAGGGAGGAAAGGAAGGACTCTTTCTAAATTAAAGAACAAAAGTGTATGTCATGGATGATTGTTTTTTTTCTTTCTTTTTTTTTTTTTTTGAGGGGCTTGAACTCTTGGCCTGGGCACTGTCTCTGAGCTCTTCAGCTCAAGGCAAATGATCTACCACTTGAGCACAGCACCACTCCCAGTTTTCTGGTGGTTAACTGAAGATAAGAGTCTCATGGACTTTCCTGTCCGGGCTGGGTTTGAACCACAATCCTCAGATCTCAGCCTCCTGAGTAGCTAGGATTGCAGGCATGAGCCACCTGTACCTAGTTATTATTTTCTAAACTAAGTATTAGATGACATTTGCAGTTAATGTAAAGTTTCTTAGGTTCAATAACAGTACCACCATTTTATATATAAGAACATCCTATTCTTAGGAAATGGAGAATAGATTATGAGTATATCTATACTTACTCTCAAGCGACCTTTTAGAACAGGCAAAAGGTTTTAGGACAAAGTGTCATGGTATCTTCAGTTTATCTTCACTAGGTCAGGAGAAGATAAGCACATAGCCACACATTCACATGTACAGAAGATAAAACAGATGCTGTAAAAAGTTAACTGTGGCCAGGTGCTGGCTAATGCCTGTAATCCTAGCTACTCAGGAGGCTGAGATCTGAGGGTCACGGGTCAAAGCCAGCCCAGGCAGGAAAGTCGGTGAAACTCTTATCTCCAATAAACCACCAGAAAACCGGAAGTGGCGCTGTAGCTCAAGTGGTAGAGCGCTAGCTGAGGGACAGTGCTCAGACCCAGAGTTCAAGCCCCATGACCGACAAAAAAAAAAAAAAAAGTTAACTATGGATCTGGGTGGAGGGCACTTGGGTGTTCATTGCAGCACACTTTTAGTTCTCCTGTATGCTTGCAAATTTCATAATAAACAGTTGGAGAAGGGATTTTTGAAATTGGTTAGGCTATTAAAAATTAAACCTCTGAGAACAGAACGCCTTATTATTCTCTCCAAAAGAATTTTTTTTAAAAAAACCTGAGCCAGGGGAACCCTACAATGCATAATGGGACTAAAGAAACCATTAGCTAATTGAGTGACAGACTGGAGCACACAGACAGGCTGAAAGGCGTAAGTGTGGCTGGAACGCATACACTGGAATCTTAGTTATAAATAGCGTCCTCAGCCACCTCACCTCTGAGCCCTCTGGTTTCACTACAGCCATGCTGACATCTCTACAAAGGCCCTTTCTCTTCCAGCAAGTCTTCCTACTGCTTTTGGAGGCACAGCTCAAAAATCAAGAAACCCATGGGGGTTGGGGTGTAACTTGGAGGTAGAGCATGTGCTTAGTTAGCATGCATGAAACTTTGAGAAGGAAGCAAGCAAGCAAAGAAGGAAAGAAATGAGAAAGAAAGAAAGGAAAGCCATGCAAAAGTGGAAATAGGAGGGCAATTTCCATAACTGGAAATGCTTTTAGCAAAAAAAAAAAATGCTCATCCACCGCTCTAAGCTTGGCAGGCCCTGCGCTAGCTGGATTCTTGAAGCTTATATATACTTTGTACTGAGCACCCACATTCTATAGTCACTGTGATTCTACCAGAACAAAATATGAGTATCCGTACTCCAGAGGTGTGAATATTCTAATTGGAAGAAAGAGAAAACATGGTATAATCTGTTAGAAGATGGCAAGTACAGTACGAAAAAAAATGAAAACAAGCATGGGGGTCAGAGAGCTTCACTGAAAGATGACTGGGGTAGAAAGTCTCATGAGAGAAGTGACAACTGAGCACATGGCAGAGGCATGTAAATAGCCAAAGGAAGAATAATTCTATTCTAGGCCGAGGAAAAAGCAAGTTTGAAGGTCCTAGGTGAGAGCTTGTCAGGCTCATGTGAGAAACAGCAGAGAGGCCAGTGTAGATGGAGTAAAGTAAGGAGAGAGAGGAGCGGGAGATGAAGGCAGGAGGTAATGGGGCCGAAGCATTAGCCCTGGAGCCCTTGCAAGCCCTCGGTGTTCTCCATGTAAGTGGGCTGCCACGAGAAGGTAGGAAGGGAGAAGATCCTACAGAAGCACAATCCCTCTGGCTGCAGGACAAACAAGGGTTGATGCAGACCAGACAAACTAGGAAATCACTGTGTAACACAGACCAGAGGAGAGGGTGACCTGGGCCAAGGCAATGGCAATATCTTCCATTTGTCTTAGAAAATTCAGCCTTGAATTTTTTGTTTTTGTGTTCCACTTTCATAGTTTGGTCTGTAAAAGGCTTTTGTGGGTAACATTTCACATGTGACAGGGGTTATTTTATTGAAGCAATGGCACTGACATTCTCTTGGGTTTTCTCTCCTTATGAGATTCGATTTCAAACAAGTAGTCTGGAAATCCAAATGGATTACTAGTGTGCTCTGGACCATTATAGAACAACATTTTGTGTTTGGTCTACATCAAAAGTGGTCTGCCTAAGTTACTCTTGGTTATATCTAAAATATTTTTAATATTCTTTACATAAAAATTGATGTTAGGTTTTTAAAGCTTTAGGGGCTTTATCTATTTTTCCAAGTCACTTAACTATTTTTTTAAGTATTTGGGAACTATAGATGTGGCTCAAGCAGTAGAATATCTGCCTAGCAAACATGAACCCTTGAGTTCAAACTTCAATACTAACAGAAGAAAAAAGTAACAACCAAAAAAGTATTTTGTCCCTACTTCGTAATTTTATCAAAATAAAATATATTGAAAGCAAGAAAATTAAAAAGAAAAAAGGAAGAAAACTTAGGACTCAACCTCCTGTTTGGTATAATGTTAGGAAAGACCCATGACTCCCCACGGAGCACATGAGCAGGCCCTACAAACCCTTTGGACAATTCATAGGCAGGGACAGCAAATAAAAGGCCAACTGAGGGCATGGCTAGAAGAAATCAGATTCAATTAGAGCCAAACAGAAAATGATAATAATAATAATAATCATAATAAACATTCTGCTGGCAAGAGACTTCAGGTCTACCAAAAAAGCCAAAGGCATGAGGCTCATGCCAACTTCAGCAATCAGCCAGCATCCTTTTTTGTTTATAGGACTGCACTCTTTCTTCTTATTCTAAGTACCAACCAGTTACTAGAACCCCATAATGCTACTTTATGAAGATCGACAGACAGTGGTAAAGCTGGTATTAGAATCTGCGGGAATGAACCTGGAAAATCTCAAGGACAGTGTCAGGCAAGGCCTTTAATAGCCAGCCCACCAAGACACACAAGCAAATGCCAGGTTCCCCCTAATGGAAATGCATACCACCACGCCAAGAACAACAGAGAACCTGGATCAGGACAAGCCCTTAGATCCACCCATGAGTGTACAGAAGCAGAGTGATGTTAAGCCACATTTCAGGGCAACACTAACAAAACCTAAAATGAGGAAAACCAGACAGGACAAAGTGTTCCATTTCGTCAACAAGAGACTCAAAGCGTGAAAAGGAAGGAAATCCTTAGGTTAGAA